TCATCCAGTAAAACTTTAATTTCTTCTATTACATTTATATATATATAGCATGTACATTTTTTTTTCGGAGTGTAGATTCCTCAGGAATGGTTTGATTGCAATATTTTTGTAAAAATTCTCTTAGGTGTAGATTTTGTAACTTCTTTAATGGAATATTTGCCGCAACAAGAGCTTTGCACAAGTCCTGATTAAATACCACTTTTTGTTTTGTCGGCGTTTTGAAATGACCTCACAACGCATTGTTGAACCGGTTGTGATTTTATTTTTTGCAATTTGGCTTTATGCAATGATGTTTTCACGTGTTAAACCACTTTGAACTTTTTTTCGCAAACCACTATTTTGGCACAAGCTTGACAAAAAACTTTATCCCCATTGATTTCCAACTCTGGAAAGTTAATAATCCACGAAGAAATTCTCTTCATTTTAGGACACTTTTAAAACAACAAATTATTACAAGACTTTTCACTAGGCAAATAACGAGGATACTATCTCATTAAACTGAATGAAAAACATTCAAAATATTCCGATGTTAGAGTAGATTGGTTACAAGAAATTACTGAGAATTTTATATAAACCGTTTTATTGCATTGTAGGTAATACTTTATCTGTGTAAATACCATCTATTAACAATTACCTTAATGGGTTTAATCTCTTAAGAAGGTAAAAATCCAGTGCATGCCACCCTCCAAGAACTAATTAACAAGAATTTACAAGAAGTGACACTTAAAAACAAATACAAAAATTTAAAAGGTCTTTATTTCAAATATATCTGTATAATCTATTAAAACAGTTTTTGATTTGCACAGTATAGTAATACATTTTTTTTTCGAAAATATGCAATATTTTCTTAAATTTTCTGAACTTTGGTAAAATATGCAATATTTTCTGAATTTTTGAAAAATATGCAATATTTTCTGAACTTTGGTAAAATATGCAAAAAATGCCTATATATGCATTTTGCATATATTCCGCTCTCTAGTGATAACCTACAAAATAAAACAATTATTCATACAAAATTGTTCGAATAAAATATAAATATAACAAAATTTTCACTCTTGTGAAATACCTTCTGGTACCCCATAATACAGCACAAACACATTTTAGAAGTATTTCAAAAATATTACATTGAAACATTTGTAATGTTGTATTAATATTACGAAACATCTCAGAAATATTTCTGAAATGTGCCTGAAACGTAAACATGTCCTCTAAATATAATATTTCACAGTAATATTTCTGAAAGAAAAATTTGAAATCTTTTATAAATATTAAATAGTAATATTTCAGAAATCTATTCTAGCATTTTTTTTTCTAAAATATTATTAGACTAAAAAAAAAACATTTATAAATATACATGTTTATTTAAAATACACAAAACTCAAACATTGATTCTTAAAGAAACACATAATTAATTTTTAAACATTATTTCATAAAATATAAAAGCAAATCGCTAATTTTCTCAAATTTCTTTAAATGCACTTATCTGAAACAAATATTTTTTTTTTTAATAAATGCTTCGAATGAAACATTTATAATTATGATAATCATTAAGATCAATTGGCAATTTTATTCTAATTTATCTTATCAAGGGACGAAAAACTTCATAAACTAATATTCTACTCTTAGACTTCTTACAGTCTAATTATTTATACTACCTTTAACGTATAATGCTTAACTGCACTATAATACTCTGCTTTAACATCACTGAATTAACTCAAAAAGCTTGGTTCTCTTGAGTCTTCTTATTAGATTGGCATTGTTGAGCTGGATAAAAATTATGAACATAAGATTACTTTTTACTCTTCAGTGTTTAATAAGAATACAAATCTACTAAAAAATATCAATTTAAAAATACACGCAAAACACGAGCCGCTACTAATATGGAACTCTGTGTTCCTCTCTTTAAAAAAGCGGTAACTCAACGATCCTATTTTTATTTCGGTCCGAAATTTTTTAATGTACTTCCACCACACCTAAAAAGGATTATAGACAAAAAACGGTTTAAGCGGGAAACAAAGAGGTATATAAATTCCCCAAATACTTTTTACCTCTTAAGCTTACCGGTTAATATCTCTAGTCATGTGTAAATCGTTTTATACGCATAAACATAACTTACTATATACTTTCCTTGTTTGTTTATTTAACAATATTTACTTTTGTTTTGCTGATCTCCACATTTTCTATTTTGTATATAATTATTATTATTATTTACTTGTAATTTTTTTCTCAATTTTATCATATTTCTTGCAACAACAGTGGATATAATGGTCATATCGCACGAAGACGAAATTTGAGCACGACGCCGTAGGCGGAGCGCTCAATCGTGTTGAGTGCGATGTAAACAATCCACTCGAGTTGTACAGTATATTTTTTCTAAGAACCTCTAACGAAAATTTACAAATTAAAAAAAAATAAATATGAACTGTGATTGGCGGATTTCATTTTTTTGCAGTGTTCTTACTACCTAGAATGGATATGAAATATATTCGTTCACTTGAAGGCAATAGCATACTCTTTCGTTTTGTAATCTGTGCGTAGATAAGGTAATATCCATGTGGGTGTAGAAAAAAGTATTATATCTACATTCCTATAATATTAACGAAACATTAAACCCCAATAGGCGGAGATAGCCTATAAATTACTCCGCCAATTGATGACGTAGCTGTGTTTTTTTAATTGTAGTAATTGGACCCTATCTTCTTAATTTTAGATTTAATACGGGATTCTACAGTGAGCATTATATGTCTTACCCCCCCTGTCTAACTCATTACTGGAGTCTTGTTAGGAAAATCGCCAAGACACGTCGATTTTTGATTTCTACAATGTACATTTTTGTATGAATAGTTTACCCTTAATTTCATCCCTAAGTGGAGCAACCCTTTCGAAAAATTTTAATGGCATTGGGTGATGAGTCATAGCTCATTTTAAAGAGGGTTTTATTCTCTAATCAACTTTGCAAAAAAAAATTTGAAATTTGCTTAATTAATTCTCGACTAATTATTGTTTCAGAATAACGAAAATTAACGTAGCGTACTTATCCTTAGAATTAAAATTCGGCCCTGCATGATATCGGTTTTGATTCAGACGTGAAGTAAGACTTTTTGCCATTAGATAAGGTCACTGTTAGTTTAGTTGCTTTCCTGTTTGTGATGTTTTGTTATTTTTAAACATTAATAAATCAACACGTAATGAAGCAAATTTCAAATTTTTTTGCACGGTTGAGTAGAGAATAAAACGCCCTTTCAAATGAGCTATCACTCACCACCCCATGCCATTTAAATTTTTCGAAAGTGATGAAATTAAGGGTAAACTATTAATACAAAAATGTACATTGTAGAATTCAAAAATCGACGTGTCTCGGCCATTTTCCTCAGTAACGAGTTAGATATGGGGGTAAGACTTATGATGCTCACTGTATAAGCAAAGTAGATATCGAAACAATTTTATTTATAGAGCTGCCAAAATACGTATTAAAACATAATTTTTCAATATGTGTCAACGCCCCCCCCATTTTCCCCTGAGCCTTCTACCGCTCCCCTAAAGACCTCTACCGCCCCCAAGGGGGCTCTATCGCTTGCTTTGAGAACCACTGCTTTACACATTCCAGATATTATATTACTACCTAGGTATTGTTTACAGAATCAACTATTATATAATTTGATTTTCTGTATCCCTGTATTTCAGAATGTTTGGTTTCTTTATAGCAAAAAAAACTATGAATATTTTGGTCTCACTGTACACTGTCTACAACTTAAAGTCCAATTTTTTAAAGATTAAAAATATACTATAAAGAAACGACAGAATATTTAAAGTTCCCTTAACACGTTCCTAAAAAACAATGTTATTGTCGAAATGAATTAAAAGATTCTATCAGCAACCAGGCCACCGATGCATGACAAGTCAACACGATCGACTTTATAAAAAACCACAGACCACTTAGATGAGATATTAACTATTATTTTGATTAATTTGTCCCCCACACACACCTTGAAAGTGAGTCATACTCGACAATCAATTGCTTATTACTATTATTCGAATTATTTAAATTAGTTGTGTCTGTACCTGTGTAAACAAATTTACAACTAAATGTCATCATAATCATCATCAGGTGATGGTTTCTATAAGTCTGGAAGATCTTAATTTCGTGGTTTATTTAATGAATCATAGAATGGATGTATTAGTAATTGGGTGGGTGAGTATGATGATAGGATAGTAGTTGATGTTTCTGGCAGTAAAAAACTCGTTAGTTTTATAATACTAATTGATTAGTATTTATTTATTATGGTAAATGATGATTAATAAAGAAAATAGAAATCTACAAAGATTATTATTTTCAATTAGGTGTTAGAATAAAAGACATCGCAGTTTTTTATGGTGATAAATGGATTTTGATGGAATCTGTTGAATTTGATATGTTGCAGTTTTTTAACTTTCTAATTAAGAGTGTCCATTAACACAAACTTTTTCTATTACTATTTTTTAAAAACTTGGTATTAAACTTGTGAACTTTAAGACGTAAACGTTGTAATTTTGCTGACATTTATAAATATGGTATGATCGACTATGTAAGATATTTGTAAGTACCAAAATACAATACCAACCTTTTTATAAGTTATGTTCTCTTCACCAAGACTACTGTCAAGATGAATTCCAAGTTATTTTACACTTATTTTCTGCTGTGTTTATTGTTTATAAATATGGACGTGGTTTTGCAAGTTATTAGATTCTATTTTTTTTTAATTTACATTTGTAACCATTATGGCAGTGTTATCTGAGAAAATGTTCGTTCTTGTACTATTTATTACATGTATAAATAAGGTACAAATACGGACCAAACACATTACCTTGTGGTAGTCCAGCTTTGGTTGGACGAAGATTGGAGACCTCACTATTAACTCTTGTTCTAAAATGTCTATCCATTAGGTATTGTCCATTAATTTCCTATTGACTGAAAACTAAACTGTCATTTTCAGAATGTATACCGTTTGTTTTTGTTACAGCGTGATGGGATGATCGGCCTGCAAGAATGTGGGCCCGCGCCGCCTAGAGCGCCACTGTCAACCGTCAGTGCGGCCCCCTGTAACAACGGGGGCAGCAACCGCATCCGAGATAGAACCGCCCTCGCTGTCGACTACTACAACACACATGTTCATCGGGCTTGGACCAACGCTGGACTTTCCGCCAACAACAGGTCAGCACTTTTCAAGTTTCTATCTTTAAAAAACCGAGAGACTCATACAAACTTTCACCTCCCGTTTCCCCCCTTAATGTCTATTTATGATAAGTAGCTACAATTTCAATTTTCTACCTTTAAAAGAAAACGATGCCCCCATACAACCTTTCCCCCATTTCTCCTCTTTCTCCACTTTTTTCCCTTTCTTTCCTTTCTCCCATTTCCTTCCTTTCTCCCATTTCATTCCTTTTCCCCTTAAAATATGAAAATCCAAAATCCCTAAAACACACCATTATTTATTTGTGGTGAGTAGCTATAATTCCAATTTTCAAAAAATGTATACTTCCATACAAACTTTTAACTCCCGTTTCCCCCATTCAAATGTGAAAATCCAAAAACCCTAAAACACGTCATTATTTATTCATGCTCAGTAGCTGTATGTCAAATTTTCATGTTTTACTACCATTATGCAAAAAATAATGTCTGTGAAAAACAAAAACAAATTATCCCACGGGAACCGTGTATTTTTCCGGTATAAAAAGTAGCCTATGTGCTATTCCAGACTATAATCTTTGTGCCAAATTTCATCCAGATCCGTTCAGCCGTTCTTGCGTGATTGGGCAACAAACATCCATCCATACATCCATCCAAACTTTCGCATTTATATGGAAGTATTTATGCAGAAATTATCCAATCCACCTAAACCATATTTTAAGAAAAATGATGTTATAGTTAAATTCTCTAGGGGATGAACATAGAATATATAGCAAGTATTTATGATTTCCACTTTTAATATCATTTTAAATTGTTGGGTCGTTTCAGCAAAATGTAATTTTGGACTAACATATCGAAAAGTAATTTCTGGTAGATTTGTGAATTGGATCATTTCTGCATAACTACGTCCATATATTAATAGGATTTTTGGGCCATTTGTTGTCTATCTTGCTTTTTCATCTATTTTATATCGAATTTATATTATTTTGCACCTATTTAGCGTCTTTACTTAAAACTTCAAATTCAAAACGATAGTTTTCCATAATGAAACCAGTTTTTTTTATTACTTTTGAAATTAAAAATAGTAAGCGAATTACAAAGTAGCAACTGTTGCTATGTGGCTAGTGGTTTTTTTGCAACAATATTGATTTTTTTGTAAAAAAGAATACGTTGTGCCGAACGCCGCCAAACATGGCATAAAAGTAGTTTCGGTTTTTACTGCAGTTTCGGCCAGTTTTCCGCCGAAACCAAAACTACAGCCGAAACAGAAACCGAACATTCAGTAACACTAACAAATTAATCCAAAAATGGAATATTAGAAACGAGCCAGAAAAAACTACTATATTAGAACGTTTTAAACCATTTTAAGAAATCGATTTTGGAAAAGAATAATTTTTACTTCACCACTCTTTGCACCAACATTTTAAGCAAATCTGTAATATATCTAGCCGTAGCCACAACTATAGCCACGGCTAGACAACCGGAGAGAGGTTAAGTTAATGTATACTTAAAAAAGGTGGGAACTGTAACTTGTTGAAGCAGTTGAAATAAAGTTAAAACTAATAAGTTATGTGCATTTATTTAAATATCTACAACCAGCACCTAGAATAAGACAAAATCTCCACATTATATGTCATGTGTAGTAATTGCAACAACAAACTCTATGTTGGATATACAGGGTGTAACTAAATAAGTGTAAAACATTTAAGGGGGTGATTCCTCATCGACAAAAAGATAGAATCTTTCATATAAAGAAACTTCATTGGAGCATCCCTTGTTAAGATACAGCCCCTTATTAACAATTTTTTTCACAAGCACTAAACAAGTTACAATATTGAAATTAACCTGTCACTTTCTACTACCAAAAAGACACTTAGCCAGTAATTTATTTGGTTTACCCCATGGTTGTAAGGGGTAGAAAACGCAACCCTGTATTTAACATTAAAATTTGGGACATAAAACATTTGCTTTTGTGATTATTTTATCGTTTTTTTCTTAAATCTTTATTCTTTAGATTTGTAATTTTATACATTGTATTTTTCTGAGATATTTTTTTGTTAAATTTTGCCTGTTCTTTAATTGAATATTTCCTGTAAAACAGTTTGTAAAAAAAAAATTAGAAAACGTCAAAACTAGTTCATACAATCAATACGTGCCAATACCTCAAAATGTCTTTTTTTTGTCGAGCATATTTTGGAAATATCTATCGAGAAAATATCCGCCCACCAGCACTAGTCGAATGACTGACTCGCATCTCATCACCTCGGCACAAACTCCGACGTGTTTGTATTTTGTAAAATTAAAAATATTTTCATTGGAACTTTCAAATAAAAATAAAACAGGATGTGATGATGTGAAAACGTTTTTATGTGGGCAATTTAAGTTTTAGTTAAACAACGATTCAATTTGACGTATGTATGTATCTATTAAGTATCTTTTTTTTTTACTATTTGCTATTATCAATGACATATTTATTAACAAAATAATGCTTTTATGAGCAGAATAATATTGTTTGTCATCAAATAAAACAAATCGTAGTAATTATTTAGATGATGTTTAACAGTGTGGTCACTTTTTGATGATCTAAATTGATTTAAATGGAAAGAATTCAAATTTATATAATCTACCCAGTGGCGTAGCTTCAAAATTTGGCCCCCGATAGTATTAACTTTGAGTTCTTTATTTTTCACTCAAACAAAAAAAAATTAGCCCATGTTATTACAAAACAAAGTCGAATAAAACTAGGTATTTAAACAGACACAGAAAACTAAACGCGGGCCTTCTGTTTTACAAAGAGTTAGATAAAGTATAATAGGAACATACGTGAAACAAAGAAAGACCACTGATAAGAGATGAACGCTTCTCACCACTCCTACTTACGCTCGTATCAAAGCTTACGTAGTACTGAGTACCTACTAATTTATAGATTAAATATAATTTGCATGCAAACTAGAAAAAAAGATTGATAAAAAATTAGAAGATATAACACGAAATGTATCCAAGCTAATAGTTGATGTTAGTAACATTGAAAAGAAAGTACAGCAGAATGAAAAGGAAATCTGTAATATTAACGGATTTATGGATCACCTAAAAAGAAAGAACACAATAAGAATTAATGGGCTCAAAGAAAGTGAAAATGAGAGTGTTCATGATATCACTTTAGAATTTATTAACACCGCACTGAAAGTTGTTTGTACCTCCAATGACATTGATGATATATTCAGAATTGGTATTGCAAATAAAAAGTCGGGAACTAGAAAAATGAGTGTTTTCAAGCTAAAAAGGCACTCAAGCAGACTGGTATTACTATTTATGAGGACCTTTCTCAACAAACGTATGAACTTTTGCAACTGGCGCAGAATAAATACGGAAGAACATTAAGTTGGACTATGGGAGGTAAGGTGTTTATACAACATAATAATATGAAGAAAGAAATTAAATGTTTTGACGACCTCATTGATGTCCCGTAATCTTTCTTCGGAGGTTCAAGATTATTTCGTTTCTAACGACCTTTCCTCGCGAATATTATTTGCTAAACTTTTTTCTCAATTATTGTGGAATACATTTTTATTTTAATACCTATTTCTAAATTATTGTTTTTAAGTTTTTATAAACTCGAGATATTTTTGAATACGAAGTAGATATATATCTACTCGTAAACATTTATTTTTATTTCTTGCTTTCATTAATATGTAGTAAAGTAGCAGGATCCATTATAATCAATAATTGAAGGATAAAAATATTTATTTAATTTTTGTTCTTTGGTATTTACTTTAGAATAAAATTATTTATTGTTATTCTTTTCTCTCAGCAACTTAAGTATCTACTTGCGCTCTATTTGTTACTAAATTTATTTACTTAACTAATTTGCCACATATTTTACAGATTTTTTTATATATTTAAATTGCTGGGGCCGAGAAAACGTTCTTAGAATAACACATTTATATGCGCTAGCTCAATATCAACATATACATATTGTTTTTGTACTTAATTTTCATCTTCTACATATTTTTTACGTTTCTCGCAACGCTATATGTTTTTAAATATTTATTATCAGAACGTCAGGGGACTCCGCACCAAGGACTCGGAGTTTAGCAAAAACTTGTCTGCAGAAGAGTATGATGTTGTTATCTTGACGGAAACTTGGCTATCAGCAGACATTAAAAATGGAGAACTATTTAGTTGCAATTACATAGTATATAGAAAGGATAAGGAAAAAATTTTAACAGGAAAACAACGCGGAGGAGGTGTCCTCATTGCTGTAAATAAAAATATCATATCTTCACTTATATCAATTAACTCACCTTTGGAAACAATTTTTGTAAAACTTAAACTACACGGAACCACAGTCATTATTAATTCAACATATATTCCACCGGGCGCAAATGCTAAAGTCTACAGGCAATATCTAAATTTATTTGACAATTTAGATCCCTTAATCACTCAAACCACACACATGGTACTTATTGGTGATTACAATATACCATGCATAAATGGCACATCTTTTCAATTTTCTAATAAAAATGATATAATAGTAGCAATGTCTCTATTAATGGCCACTTACAGTCTACAGTCTTTCAACAATTGTCTCAATGAGGATCAAAAAACTCTAGATCTGGTGCTTGGTAATTTGAATTTGAATATAAAGGAGAATAAAGAACCTTTAGTTCCCATAGATAATAAACATCCCTCTCTGATAATTAAGACGGAAGTAAAAAAAGTAATCAACTCACATACACAAATAATAATCTTCAAAGCAGATATAATTTTACAAATGCTGATTTTAGATTACTATGCGAACTACTAAGGGATTTTAATTGGTCCAAAATTGGACACATTGAAAAGGTTGATGATTCTGTCAAATATTTTTACCAGGTTTTTTATGAAATACTTGACATATGTGTACCAAAGTTTACTAACAGGCCACATGCATATTGCAAACAGTTTCCGCCATGGTTCACGGATGAAATAAAAATCGACATAAAGTACAAAGAATTTTTCAGAAAAAGAAAACATCTATCGGA